CACTTTCAACTTTTGGGTTTCCTACCTTTCCCTATTCCTCCTGTATGTGTTCTCCCCTTAGCATGTGACCCATGTCCAATAATTTTACTGCATTTGTTTTAGGTCTAAAGTCCACATATGAGGGAGAGCATACCATTTTTGGCCTTCTGAGCCTGGGTAACTTTGCTTAAGATGATGTTCTCCAGTTCTATCCATTTACTTGTGAATGATAAAATTTCATTCTTTTCATAGCTAATTAAAATTCCATTGTGTATAAATACCACATTTTCTTAATCCATTCATCAGTAGTGGGGCATCTTGGCTATTTCCATAACTTGGCTATTGTGGGTACCTCTGGAGTAACCTGTGTCACATTCCTTTGGGTATATCCCCAGGAGTGGGATTGCTGGATCATATAGCAGATCTATGTTTAGATTTTTAAGAAGCCTCCATACTGTTTTCCAGAGTGGTTGTACTAACTTGCATTCCCACCAGCAGTGTATAAGGGTTCCTTTTTCCCCACATCCTTGCCAACACATGTTATTGGTGGTGTTTTTGATGATAGCTACTTTAACAGGGGTGAGATGGAATCTTAATGTTGTTTTGATTTGCATTTCTTTATGGCAGAGATGGTGAGCATTTTTTCATGTGGTGTTTGGCCATTTGGTTTTATCATCACATTTTAAAACTGTGAAATATTTTTCAGTAAAGGAAATTAATCCGTTCTTTCCTCTACACAGCCTAGTTTTAGCCCTCTATCCCCAAGAGATTTACTTTTTTTTTATTGCAGGTACATAAGTAGTTAAAAGGTTCCATTCTATTTTTAAAGTGACTTGGTCTCAAATCAAGTAATTTAACCTTTTCAAATTTTAGCTTCTCATCTGTAAGGAAAAGGACAATAATATCTCATTCTTTCAGGATATTCAAAAAGACTATCAAGTCACACATATACACTCAAACATACACACACTCACACACACACACACACATCAGAAGACAATTTCTAAAACTTTGATGCAGTGTTGATAGTAGTGGCCACAAAAATAGTGGTACTCAAACCTTCCATCTTCTGTAACATATGCCTGTCCATTTACAGCTAGGCTGAGAAGTATTAACTGCAGATACTGGATTATAGGAATAATTTGTATGCATCATTTCTGGGTGAATTGAAGCAACCCTTCAGTTGTCATGGAGATTGAGGAGAATTCATGTTCTAGCAGAGGCAGCTATCAATGGTGAAGTCCTGAATAAGCCTACAATTTTGAGTGACTGTGTGTGGAAACCCTTCCACACACAAGCATAAAAGCTTGTGTCAAAGTTTTATGGCCTATTTCCATCAATTGAAAAAAAATACTAAAATTTCCTTGTAAGTTCAAAAGGACCCAAGATAGCCAAAAACACTTTAAAAAGGACAGAATAACACTCATACTTCTTGATAGAAAATTAATACAAGTCAAAAGGAATCAAAGACATTTAGTATTCTTTTAAGAACAGAGATATAGACCAATGAAATAAAATTAAGAGTTCAGAAATAAGCCATATACCTATGGCCAAAAGACTGTTCAAAAGACTGGCATGTCCATTTAGTGGGAAAAGAATAGTCTACAATAAATCAATAGAGTAGACTTTTGTTACTCTTAATACACACAAATGCAAAAGAAAGGTGACTATGAAGGTGATGGCTGTGTCAATTTGCTTGATGGAGTACTCATTTGAGGAAAAATGGATAGAACTGGAGATCCTTATTTTAAGTGAAATAAACCAGATTCACAAAGAAAAGCATTGCATGTTTTCTTTCATACATAGAATTTAGGTATGTGTGTGGGGAAGGACATGAAAGTAAAAAGGAGACCATTAGGGATTTAGGGGAACAAGGTGAATGGGGAGGAGGGATAAGACAGAGTGATGGGGGTGTATGAGTATGATCAAAGTGCATTGTGGGCATGCCCAGCAATGCAGTAATGAAGCCCATTACTTTGTACAATTAATATATGCTAATAAAAAAGAAAGTGTGAGCAAATCTTCTGGACCTTAGACTCAGCAATGATTTCCTACATATGAAATTAAAAAAAACACAAGGAGCACAGGAAAAAATAAAAAATTAAACTTTTGAACATCAAAGCAGGTTAACAAGAAAGTGAAAAGGAGAGCTGGGGCTGCAGCTAAGTGGCAGAGCACTTGTCTAGCAATGGTGAGGCCCTGGGTTTGATTCCCAGCACCACAACAAACAAACAAATAAGGAAATGAAAGTGACAAGGGAACTATGAAACGGTAATAAAAATGTGTAAACCATATTTCTGATAAAGGCCTATGTAAAGAATAACTCATTAACGGCAAAAAGACATCTCAACTAAAAAATGGTCAAAGGGCCTATTCCAAAAATTTACAAAATGCCACAATAAGTATATGAGATGATCTTCCAAATCATTATTTAAGGGGGAAATGTAAATAAAAACTATAACCACTCATCATTTCATACCCATTATAATGGCTATCATATAAATGTATATGCTATATATATATATGTATATATATATATATATATAGTCTCACATCTCTGTCTCTCTCTCTCTCTCTCTCTATCATATAAACCCAAAACAACAGAAACTAACAAATGTTGGCAAAGATGTAGAGAAACTGGAATCCCTGAATACTCTCCACTTCCTACCAACATCCAGGTAGTCTTATGGTATCTGTTTATATTAATAATAGAAATAATAATATCTATCACATAAACAACTCCAAAATGGCAGTGGCATGACCATAGAGGTTTCTATTATTTATATATTGTTCAATCATTTATTCTATAAGAACTCACGCAGAGGTTCAGTAGCCCAATTCTTTTATCCCCTGTGGTCTGAATAATCTCTGTGCAGTTAGTGACAAAGAACAGCAAACAGAGGATGACATGGAGTGTTTCATGGTTCAGGCATGGAAGTGGAATATATGACTTCCAATTATACTGCATTGACAAGAACACAATCTCATGGTTGTAATCAACTTCATGAAGACTGAGAAATGGAGCCTATCTATGTTCCCAGGAGTAAAAAAGTAATCATTTAGAAAACAAGTCACCTGTCTTTTCCATTGTATAACCACGAGCATCAATGCCATTTTACACTTCCTCTCACATAATGAACATAGTGTCTACCTCCACTAGGAACACAATCCAATTTGCAATTAATGACAATAGAAGGTTAATGTCAAAGAGTTTAGATCATACTCTCCATGCAGTCCTGTGGTCCAGTAACTTATTTCATTCTACATCCAAACTCACTATACAATATTGGACCAGACTGGATAATTACAAAAAAATTCCCATTCAAGAAAGACAATAATGAAAGACACATTGCTCAATTTTGATATCTTGATGAGTTGCATTATGAAGTTTCCTCATTATGAAGTTTCCTCATTTCCCTGGTGATGGAAAATAGTTCTAAGAATCCTGATTTTTCTCTGGATAAAACCCAATTATTCACTGTTTTTCTTGGATCATGGTCTAGTCTCTTAAACTTTTTTTACTCATTGTCCTCTATTACTACTGTTGAAGTGAATCAAAAACAAAACTGACAAATGAAAAAATATCAAAAGTATTCTGTTACTTTAACTTCAGCAAAAGTTTAAGGATATGAGAAAAATAGAATAAAATTTTTTAGTAAAATGAATAAATACCGAATCAGTGTAGAAGAGTACAGTTATTTTTTAATTGAAATCTGATTTTTTTGGAAGTGGGAGAGATGTTCTGATTGGTCTTTTTGTACACTTGTCAATTCTTAGCTGCAAGGGTGAAACAAAAGTATTTGGACAATTTCAGAGAAGAAAGTATTGTTCAGTGCCAGTGGGGGAGAATTTTTTGAGACTGCTAATTTCCTGAAAAAGTTGAAATCATGCAACATATGTTAAGGAGCATGCAATTTTAAATGCACAGAGATTCTATAGCTTACTTCCACCCACGTAACTTGGAATTTTTGAAGTTGCTTTATGTTAAAAAGTATTTTTAATTTGAAGATAACTGTTATTTCCAATGACAAAAATAGATTAAGTTCCACTCAAATGGAGGGACAGATTAACAGGTGAACAAATAAATACCAGAGGTGAATGTTAACACATCTATGAAGATGAAGCAGGTTGAGGAGAGAAGGTCCATGGGCAGGGAAGGAGGGTCTCTATGACGGAGTGGGCAATATTTAAACAGCAATTTGAAATGAGTACAGGAATACTCTGAGGTAGGGGCATGCTTACAGTTCCCCAGGAACAGTAAGGAATTATTATCAAGGTGGTGGAGTGAATAAGTAGGAGAGTGACAAGGCAGATATATTAGCTCAGCTGAAGTGTTAATAAAGGCAATAATTTTCAAAGCATCTACTGCCAAAATAGAGAATGACATTATGATTAATATAACTGCATTTTGGAAAAACAGAATGTGAACAGTCAGTAGTCACAAAGTTAAGGTAAATAATAACTGTTTTCTGGACACAGTAGCTTATGCCTCAATCCTAGCTACTTGGGAAGTTGAGATCCGGAGTATGGCAGTGTAAAGCCAGCCTAGGCATTAAGTGAGAACCTAGCTCAAAAATGACCAACACAAAAAGAGCTGATGGAGTAGCTCAAGAAGGAGAGTACCTTCCTAGCAATTGCAGGTCCCTGAGTTCAACTCCCACTACTGTAAAAGAGAAAAAAAGACTTTTTCCACATTTATTCTAATATGACTATCTTTTAGAAATATTCAGAACCATACTAAATCACTCCATAGTAGCTAAAAATATTCATCTGTTTAATTATTGTAATTATTTGTGCCTGGATAAAATGTGTCAACAAAAATTCTATAGTCATCATTAAATAAGATTAATTATTGTCATGTTTTTCTTTATTTTTTTGTGTTTGGAACTGTTCCTCATCTAAATAAATTAATAATATTAGACAAAGTTTTGTTTTAACTTCCCATATGGTCGTAAACACTTGATTTATTACATTGAATATATGTAAACAGGACAAAGTATCTTATTGTGAATTATATTTAATTAAAAGATTAAACCCAGAGAGTATTTAGTCTTCTCAACAACTTTCCTGAATGCACTCTTGACCTCCTTATTCCTCAGGCTGTAGACCACAGGGTTCAGCATGGGGATGATCATAGTATAAAACACAGATGCAATTTTGTCTGTGTCCATGGAGTGACTGGAACTTGGCTGTAGGTACATGATGATGACGGTCCCATAGAATATGGACACTGCAATGAGGTGTGATGCACAGGTGAATAAAGCCTTCTGGTATCCCTCAGTTGAGTGCATCTTTAAAATTGTGGTAAATATGAACTGGTAAGAAATTAAGATAACAAGGAGTGCAAAAAAGATATTAAAGCTTGAAATAAGAAAAAGAATCAACTCATTAATGTGTTTATCAGAACAAGTCAGAGTCATGACTGCTGGAATATCACAGAAAAAGTGATGGATCACATTGGATACACAGAAAGAGAGACAGAACGTGTCTGCAATGTCAATAGCAGCAGTCAGAAGACCAAAGATGAAAGAACATTTGGCCAGACAAGCACACACATTTGTTGTCATGATACTAGGGTAATGTAGAGGTTTGCACACTGCTGCATAACGGTCATAGGCCATTGATGTCAAGAGGTAACTTTCAACAGTTGCAAAGAGTACAAAAAAGAACATCTGAGTAGCACATGCATTGTAGGAGATGATCTTATCTCTTAAAAGCAACCCAGACAAAACCTTTGGGGTAACTGTTGAAGAGTAGCAGAAGTCCACCAGAGACAAGTTACTGAGGAAAAAGTACATGGGAGTGTGGAGACGGGAGTCCAGCAGAATTAAAATGATCATTCCTAGGTTCCCTATCACAGTGATGAGGTAGGTGAGGGTGAACATTATAAAGAGAGGAACTTGTAGTTGTGGAACACTGGTGAGTCCTAGCAGAATGAACTCATTCACCTCTGTATTGTTCTCCATAGATGGTATTTTAGAATTACAAGATACTCTGTAACACAGAGAGGTAAAAGAACACATTGATGAACCCAAATCAGTTGCACACAAATTAAATATCTAATCAATATTGTATGATAATAATAAGGCATTTAAAAATATTCTTCATATTTAAAGCACATGACAGCAATGCAATTTGCTGTACAAGCTATCTGTACAGTGTCAGACATTTAAAGAAATAGTGTCCTTGTTGATCACCTTCTTAACTCCTTCATTTTGTGTCTGAGCAAGCTAAGTTGCAGGAAAGGCCAGTAAATTGCCCAAGATCATATGCATAGTATAAGTCCATCTCCTGTGTAAGAGTTTTTGTGTCTAATAGGTTACATTTCTGTATTTCTCACAGTGTGTGTGCGTGTGTGTGCACTTAATTTTCTCATCAAGTTTATTAGGTTGATTAGTAATTACACTGCTTTCTATATGATGTAATTTGGTAACAAAGAGGTTAAATAATTTATACAAGGTCACACAGGTTTTAAAAGACAGATTCAAGTTGTACACTCAGGGTGGTTTCAAACCTAAATGCTGTTAACAAATTTTAATTGATTTTTAAATTTAAATTTATTTTAAGTGATACATAAAAACAGAGAAACTGTTAACATATTAGTGGGTAACATGACATTTCTACATGTACATAATTCTGAAATGTTTAAATTAGGTTAAACATATCTGTTGACTCAAATATTTGCCATTTCTTTACAGTGAATTGATTTTAATTTTATTCAATCTGTATTTAATCATTGTCTCCATTGTAGTAAGCCTAATGCATGGATTTGCACAGTACAACAACTCACAAATAAGTTGATATTAGATGCAGTGGGATAAATTCATCATTAGAGAGAAATGTAGCAAACAAAACAAATTCTGAATGAAAAGTGTACCATTGTGTGTAAAACTTAGGGATCTGGGAAAAAGTCTATTTGCATTCACGTATAGAAGCTCTGTTCTTTACTACCATGGGCTTTAAATTTAGTTCTTTGAGCCTTATTTTACCCATCAGTGAAATGAATGTTAAGGAATTATTGTAAGATTTAGATGATAAAATGCATGAAAATATCTCACTTGAGTGATAAGCACACTTCTAGTGAGTGTGAACTCAAATACTATACAGAATAGTCGTATAAGAATGACATTTTCCATGCTGGTTCAGGAAAGATAGGTAGCAACATACAGGTGGGTGGGTTTGATTTTTATGACTTATAACCTTTTCCTATAGATTATACCCACTCAGACCTTTTATTTCCTCCAGCATTTCTCACTCTATTATTCTTCTCCAACATGAGAAGAAAATGAGGTTCAGAAAACTTAACTTAGGGCCCTTGTCTCCAAGGTAGCAAAGAGAAGAGCTTCTAAATCTGAGTGCAAATGGACCTTTTCCAGCCCTAGGTTTTACATGCAGGGGTGTGCTTTTGTCTCAGAATTGGTTTTATTTGCTGTACATGTCTCTAATGATGCATTTACCCCACTGTATCTGCCATTAGCTTATTTGTGAGTGACTCCACTGTGGCATTCCAGAGGAGTGGCTATGACAGCCATTTTGCATGAGAAAACAGGGGATCTTCAAGATCCCTTTTCTTTAATATCTTACTTTAGATTCATATTTTACTTAGAGTTGAAAATCCCCCCTTCTTAGACTCATTCTCACTGCCATTGATAGCAACATGTATATGGATCAAAGATATTGGAGGATGAAATTCCATGGCATGGGGGCTTGGCACTAGTCTTTGGAACAGTTAGTGAGCAAACATAATGTTTTAAACCCTTTTTATCTGGAGCCTTGAGAAAGACATCCACCTTTCATAGCCACTGTTGTCTTCTTCCTGGTCCCTAAAATATTATTTTATCATTGAGATCTCAAATTATTTATGTTTGTCAATTTCAACACCTTACCCACATGATTATGCAGGTTATAATTACATTGTGTGTCTCTCTCTATGTGTATGCATTTCCTAACTCTGATTACTGATATGTTCCCAGTGGGTCTATTCATATAATCTAGGTAAGTTTATCATCTTTAAATCTTCAACTTAATCATATGTGTACAGTCCCTTCTACTATGTAAAGCAACACATTCATAAGTTAGCAAATAAAATGTGTATTTTTGGGCTACAACAGTGAATATAAAAACATATAATAGGTAAATTATTTCTTCATTAAAGGCTGTTGAAACCAAGACATCTTTGCAAATCACATGTCCATTTTCTTAATTGCTTCTTTGTAAAAGAGATGCAGAAAGAGACTCAAAATTGCCCTAGTTCACATACCTGAAATCATCTTCTAAAACGAATCTACTAAATTTTGTAACAGAATAAACTTACCACATGTGTACATTTTTTCATAGGTAGATAGATGCATACACGATAAGTTGATAAATGCTAGATAAAATGTAGATACAGATAGGTAGCAGTGGGGGTGAAGATAGAGTGTGGAGGCACACACACTATCACACATTTTATTTTATTTATTTATTTATTTAGTGTTAATGAAACTGGAAGACTTTAGAAGGCAATATTATTCTCACACCTAGTAGAAGATATTCAAGATATAACCTCATGTCTAAGTGATTCCATTGAATATGCCTTTAATCACTGCATGTCAGATTTTCTATATGAACAAATAATGAAAGCATAAAATTGGGGAAATTATACAGAAAAGGAGTTTGGATCTAGGTAGTTTTAGGATGAATCTTCTGGAGTTTAAAAATGTGTCATTTCACTTTGTTTTGGTGATCTACCCCTTAATGATAGGACAACTTACTTAAAAAGTATGAACTTGCTTCCTGTTCAATCAGAGTAGCATCTACCATAGGTATTGCTCTTACTATACACAATTTCATAAATTTTACTGACTGTAGCTATGTGCTGAATAATTTTTTTTCATTTGAATCCTACACCTGTGCCAAGGTTTGAGATAAAGTGTTCAGGTTGATCTTGGCTTAAAAAACAGTAGATGTAGTAGAAGCTGCTTCATAGCATCTTCATGCATTACATTTTTCACTAAAAATATTTAGTATGGGATCATACCTTGCACCTTGAAGAGAAGGGGAAGGAAATCTGAAATTGTACATCTGAAATAAGATTCATTCCTGGAAGAATAAATAAATAGTCTTGGAGTATCTCTCTCTTTCTCATAGGTACTGGTCAAAAGGATCTTAAAGAGAAATAACATCATAAATACGTTGTTAAGAAGCCTGGTTTTTTGTATTGTACCTATTATATATTTATTCATGTACCCAGAATTATTTGCCTTTCTGTTGGGCTCAGTTTCCTTATTTGTGATTTAAAAGTGATAAAATGTACTCTCCCACATACATTACAGAATTGTGCCTGTATATTGCAAATGAAGATAGTACATAACATCTTAGAAAGAGATTATCCTTTTAACATGGACCAATACAATTTTTATCTTACGGCATTTCCCCTACCTGTGGTTGAAGATTCACTACAAATGCTTAGTTTGGGGACATGCTACCATATCAGAAATCATTAGCATTCACTTCCACTAAAGTCTGACCATGACATGTTAGACCTGCTCTACTTTCAAATGATTCATTTGGTCAACTGTGGATTTTTAGAGTCTGTTAAAGTGGAAGCGGTAAATTTTGGACCTCAGGGGAATCTCCCTCTGAGGTCCATCATGTCTTTGCATTCTACCTATCTAGGTAAGAAGCCATTAAACTGTGTGCAGGAGCAGGGCACTAGGGCGAAAAGCATACCAGTGCATTTTCAATAACCATGGTCATATTTTCTCTCACTTTTAGTATTGTACAATTTGTATATTCAGGAGTGGATTGCTTAATTCATTTACATTGTGATTATTGATATTAAAATATATATTTAAAATTTTGTTTTCTTTTTTTGATGGCATTTGGATTTGAACTCAGGGCCTTGCACTTGCAAGGCAGACTTGTTACCACATGGGCCATGCCCCCAGCCATTCTGTTTTAATTATTTTTCTAATTGGGTCCCATTTATACATGGGCTGGGCTGGAAGATGGTCCTCCTATTTACATATCCCACATAGCTGGGATGATGGGTGTGAGCCACTGCACCAGCAAGATTTTATTTTGTCTTCTATCTGCCATGATTTTTAGATTTTCCTTCTATCATTTTTATTCTTCAAGGTGTTATGATTAAACATTTGACTACTAGAAATTTTAGAAATTGACAAATAATATCCTTTTTTTTCCTTTCCTCATTTTACAAAGAATCCAATTGTCAGGGAGATAAGGATTTAAATCTACTCTAACCCTGATAAGTCAACTAAAATTTTTTGTTGATATCCATAGACAAATGGGCTTCTTTTTTGCCCTCTCAATTATCCTCCTGCAGGCAGGACTGTTAGTCCTCTATGCACAGTCCCTTGACATTCCTTATGCTGTGCTGGCCAGTGCATGTTGTGAAAAAGTATTAACAGTCTTAATTCTTGAAGCTGCAAGAATGTGATCATCCCATGTGTGGACCGTCTAATTACTTTAAAGTCAGCAAAGGAAGAACATTTGCTTCTTTCCTTCTGATGTGGAGGCCTTTCATTTATTTTTGTTGCCTAGTTTATCTGACTAGAACTTCCAGTGTTATGTTCTATGTTGAATAGAAGTGATAAGATTGGGTATTCTTACCATCTCTTCTTGTTTCTGATCTTAGAAGAAACACTTTCAGGTTTTACCTCAACTGTGGTAAACTTAATGGCTTTTTTTTATATGGTCTTTATCATATTGAGGTACAATCATTTTAGTGTTGAGAGTTTTATCAATGGTCATTTTGTTATATGCTTTTCCTACCTCTCCTGTAATGACAGATTGTGTAGTTTTGTCCATTGTTACTGTGGAGTATTATATTTGTTAATTTGAGTGCATTGAACCATCCTTATATCTCTGGGATGGATGCCATTTGGTGAATGATCCTTTAAATAGATTTTCCTGCAGTTTGTTTGTATTTCATTAAGGATTTTTGCATCACCAGGGATATTGA